CATCACTTCCTAGCTATGTGAACTTGGGCAATTTATTTAGGCTCTGTGAACCTGTCTCCTCATCTGCAAAATGGGTACAACAACAACCAACACTTATAATCATTATGAGGTTTAAACAAGATAATGTTTGCAAACATTATCAAAGTACACTGCCAGGGTTTGCAAAATGGAACCATTATCAGTTATTATTGCTTCTGGCCATGCTCCAAAGCCAGAGTAAGGACTGAAGAGTTAAGAGAAATGTATTTCTCAAAAGGATCAAATTACATGGCTATGCACATTATAGAAATTCTGTTTAAAGTAATAAATATTTTCTTCCACTGTATATAAGTTAATAGGCAAGAAGGTTAACTGACTTTCTCACAAGAATTAGTGGTAAAGAACTCTGGCTATCTGAATCCTTGTTCAATATAACGTTTCTACCAAAAAAGCATCTAGAATGAAATACCTAATTGTTCATTTTTATTAATTCTACTTTAAAAAGTATGATATATATTTCACATAATCAAATCTCTAAAGACAATCAATAGACCCTCTATTTTTCTTTTTTATATAAGAGATAGTATTTAAAAATAAAATTATTTTACTTTAGTAGCCAGCATTTTTTTTTAAAGATCTAGGAAAAGATGATTTATCTAGAAGTTGGTTTTTAATGTGAAGGCAACATATTACTCATTTTAATTGTGACCTTGTCTAAGGACATTTTTGGTACACAATGCTCCCTATTTATGTCTAGGCTTCACTTAAAACAGGTTCATCAGAAAATCCAGAACACTTTGTATGGTTTCTTTGGAATAGAACAGCAAAAATTATTGAGAAAAACATTGACAGGAAGCTTACGAATCTCTAAACAAAGTAGAAAAAGCTCAAGCCAATGAAACCAAATACCTTAGAAATTGAATCTACACAGCTACAAATGCAATACCACGAATGTGGGTAGCACTGATGCAGAGAATTCAATTCTCTATTTCCTTGAAGAAAAGGAATAGTACATGTACAATAATGTAGGAACACTACAATTTTTAGTTCCCATAACAGTGAGATATACCTAACACATTTCACTTAGAAATACCAGAACAATTTTCAATTTTCAACCCCCCCCCCCAAAAAAGCTTTTATTTGAAACAATCATTATTCTAGAATATCCTACTGCTTGACAACATTAATTTCAGAAAGGTCAACTTACCAACTCTATTACTTCTACATTTCGAACTGATGGGTCAGGTGCCACCTCTGGCCAATTAGATAATTCCATGTACCCAGTAGCTTTAGTGTTGAGAATATGAGATAAAGTTCCAAGCTGGAAATGATCCCTATCTATTAAAATAGAGGAAAATATAAAATAAACAATATGAGCTGTATATAACATAGAACAGTCCTAATCAGAGCTCAAGATAATTGGCATATTACCTCAAATGTCAAGGAATAAATATAAACTAGGAAGCTCTTCATAGGTCAAAAAACTGATTTCAGTCCATAGATTACAATAATCTTCCCCATAATGGTCAATAAAAAAGCTAATCAGTCAGTGTGTTTGGAGGTGTTGCTCTGAAATGTAGCTTCTCTAAAAATTACTTTACTGTGAATATTAAGAATGACAGCACCGTTAAACAATCCATATACATGTCTTGGCACAAACACATTCAGAATTTTAATAGTTTTTCTATGAAACTGAACTGCTTATTATCACTTTATAAAAATAAATAAGGAAAAATATAAAAACCAAGGTATAAAATCATCTGATTCCAATTGTAATGGCTACTTGTGAAACTGATCAATTATTCCTTTTAAAAAGGTGGGAAAAATAAGTCAACTTCCATCTTTAAAAAACGTTTAAATATCAAAAAGTTTTTATGAAATAACTGTTCCTAGAAAAGCTTGTTGGGATACATAGAATATTTAATTAATAACAACTCAGTATTAAGGTGAATTATATTCCTTATTAAATAAAGGTATCTATTTAAAATAAAAGTTAATGTCTATAAGAACAACACAGTTTTTATATATTGTTCTTTATGCTTAATAAAAAAAATAAAATCAGAAGATTGAAATTATTTAGGTAAATAAGGTCCATAAAAATATAAATTTTAACTAATATAAAGCTTGCTCTAGAGAACAGATGAATGAATAGAAAGCACACTGTTTTTATATATTTATATATGCTAGTCATTTATATTTCCTAAGAGATAAATTTAAGCACATTATAAATGGAATATATTGTCTATTTTTCAGATAACATATTGTGCAGTTATATTCTAATAATAATAATAATAATAATAATAATACCTTTAAAAGGAGACTCAAGCAGTGGTGCAGGTTTTTGTGCTAGGAATATTTTTTTGGCATATTTACTTAAAGCTCCACTCTTCTCATTCGGAACAATAAGCTGCCTAATAAATCTTGTACGGTCTCTGATGTCGTAGTTTTGATCATACTTGCCGAGATTTAATATGTACTGGGTAAGCAATTTTGTCTGTTGGAAAAAACCCCACAACAGAACAAGATGAGAATACAGTTATTTATGATTATTGATAACTCTGGATAAACATATTTAAAGAGGTAATAAAAATGAATGGTTATGTCAAACAAATGTTGTTCCATAGGGAATATGCATTTCTAACGCTGCAAATGGAATTTTGAAGCCAAAGCACATGTCCTCTTCAGAATTGGGGAGGTGAATGCTGAGTACTGAGAAGCAGCCATGTGCTAGATTATTAAACTGCTGAAGTGGAAAGAAAGGCATCATTAAAAAAATAATCATATATGGCAAACCCGCTGAAGGGTCTACGTGAGAATAATGAATGTGGAAATACAACTAAAAACATGGCACTCAAAACTTAATCGGAAAAATATGCAGGACATCAAAACATCAGAGAGTATTAGGGGGTTGGCAAACTGCTTCTCCTGAGGTGTGTTTTATGAAGAGATACTGTCTCTGGCATAAGCAGTGTCTGCACTCTGACTGCACTCAGTTACTTTACCCTGAATTATGACCCATTAAAGCAGACACATGAATCACTGAACTGGATTACTGCAAATTATTTGCAGTGCATTTAGCTGTTACTTTTTCATAAAAGCAAGCTGCTGATGCCCTCTAAAAACTAGGATAAAAGACTCCTTCCATTTTTTCTCCCATGCTGCTTATAGCCGCTAGTAATATTGGTCATTTATTTATTTATGTAAGGGAACAACTTATTATAGTAGCTTTTACACTGCAATAAGATTCCCTAAGTCAATTTTTTAATGTACTTACATTAACATAGAGATTTTAATATTAAACCAAAATTGAAATACTAACAAAATAGCTTTGTATTTAAACTCATTATTTTGTTGAAAAAAACATAGTTTTAATTTAGGTTACACTCATACAATTCCAGCTATAAATTAAATATAGAAAATTTACTTACATAGAAATTACATAGAAAAAATAAACACCTATATTTAAATATTTTACAGATATTAGAAACATAAAATAATAAAATCAATCATGTCAGGCAAAGACAATTCTAGAACAGTAAATCAAAGTATAGGAATGGTGTGGCAAACTCATTTATAATAATGGGTTGAGACACCTGATTTGGATAGAAAGCAACCTTCTTTCAGTAACAACGTATTTAAAAAGCATTAACCTAGTTTAATAAAGTAGAACTGTAAAAAAAAAAAAAAATACAAGAGAAAATGTTGATAGAGCTATTCTAAATTTGGTTATCAACAATTGCTACTTACTAATTACTAGATCATATTGATTCAACTTCAGATGAGAATAATTCTATGATTCATTTTTTAAAATTAGCAAAATATTCACCAAATGAGAAATACAGTGCAAAAGAAAGTATAATATACTAGACAGTATAATTGACTTGCTGAGACAACTGGGGAAAACTAACCATTAGCTTCCTCAAATACAGAGTAAGAATTTTTTTTTTTTTTTCAAAGCAGTATTCTTTGTAATAGGGAAAAATTGAGATAACTCAAATGGCTCTCAACATTAGAGAGTATAAAATCATGGTACATAAATACAATAGAATAAAACAGAGACATCTAAATGAACTAGTAACAGCTTTTGCAACAACCTGAATCAATCTCACAAATTTCATATTAATAAAATAAAGAAGAGGTACAAAATAATGTGCATACGTGTATTCAAAACTAATGCCTGCCACTTATTTTTAAATGGTTCAGCAAATAAAATATATATCCATATCCACCTATTCAGATACAAACAAAATGTACAAACTGTTAACAAATATGAATCTAGGTAGGATTATACAAAGGTTCATTGCATTATTTTGCTACTTTTCTTTAGGTTTGAGATTTTTCATAATAAAAAGAAAAAAAGTTCAAAAATCAGATAAAGCTAATTTACATTGTTTCGGAGTAGTTCTTCATCTGTGTGATAGACGTATGAGTTTTCTTTATAAGTATTTACTAAACTATACATACATATTTTATGCAGTTTTCTGTATGTATACTTTATAAAAGAAAAAAGGTTAAAATGTGATGATAAAAATACATTTAAAAAAACTGCTACATACTTGTTAAACATTATTATTTAAAAAATCCCTTTCTGCTTTATAAAGCAACCAAACATTAAGTTAGGGGGCTTTTGTTTATGGGTCATTTACTTGAGATAAATTTATCAAAAGGAACACACCTGAGGACCCATTTTTGAGGCTAGCAATAATGTCATCGGATTTTTTCTATGAGATAGTTCTTACAAAACCATCAATTCTGAATCTTGTTACTTTGATATTCTTCTATATAATTCCCATGAACTGCATTATGATACCCCAGTGCTCACTGGGCAGATCTTCTAGCATATGCTACTTAGAAATTTATTGTAAGAAAAGTCTGCATAAGTTATATAATTGTTCAAATATTATACACAATTTATATTGTCCATGTATAAATGTTATCATTTTCTATAGGTTATTCTAAATTCTTTATTAGGATTTCACAGTATTTTTCTGTAAAACCCTCAAATAAAAAGTTGTTCAGAATTTCATGTTTTCACACTGACTTTTAATATATTAATCTATTTGATTGTCATCTTCTTCTGAGTCATCTAAATCAATATTAAAATCTAAGTCATCACTTTCTTCTTTATTTCTTCTGCAGCTTCTTCTACAATTGGAATGTGGATTATTTTCAATGTTTTCTGTCCTTTCTGTTTCTTTATTAAACGGAGTAACAATGTCTTCTTTCTTTCCACATTTTGCGCAAACTTCAAGTTCACAGGCACATGGTCTACATATTATGTGATAAGAATCTTTCACTGTCTTTTGTAAACATTTAACACATTTTTTAGGCTTTGACAATGGTTTGTATTTGCTGTATTTTACACGCCATTCAAGAACTTCTTTACAGCGCTGACATACTCCATCATGAAGTTTTGTATTAATTTTCTTGGTCTGAACAGTCTTATCAAACTTGTCATTTTTGAAGCTAAACGTGTTTTGATGTCTCTGAGGCCTGGAACGGGCCACGTTGCCTCTATGGGAGCTCATCACCGAAATCACAATCACCAAACGCTGGGAGTAGGAAGATTCAAGAAGCCACGAACTACCTCGTGGAGAAGACGCCTGTCACTGACCCGGAGGGAACTGATTTAGCTTTCTCGCCCCGCCCCCGTCAGTCCACGTGACGCCGCGCGGAGGTCAAAGGACATCCTCGGTCCCTCGGCAACTTGAAGGCTCTTCCTCGAGGTCAAGATTCGATCCCTCCGCTCACCCTCTCTCCCAGAGTAAGAATTTAGGCTATTCTAAAGTCACTTGAGTGTTGAGATTTAGAATGTGCAACCTAAATAAATCAGAGTAAGAAAATAAGTCTGTTCACTGCAATGATATATATTTATATATTGGCTAATAGAGTGATACATTTTGCTTATATTTCTGATCCCTGAAATTAATTTTTAAGAAATGAAACTATTTCAATATGTTATCTGACAATTATTGAGTTATATTGGGAATTTTAAGTAATTAAAATTACGTAATTTTTAAAAATATGTATTTGTTGATTGTAAAACTTGTTTTACTATGTTGGTGGGCTTGTTTTCATTAAAATGCATTTTCAAATATAAAATTCTTTCTGTAAGATAAAAACATCCGTTTATAATGAAGCATTGAAAACAAGCAGAATTACCCACTGTATAATCATTTACTGTAATCACTTTCTTAGCTGTATCTGCCTCTAATACTAAGTTATTGGTATCTCTATGAAGAATGTGTTTTTGTAAGGTCTTATTATTTTGAAGTTTTTTAAATAAAAATAAGGTTACCTACAATCTTCAAAACTGAATTTTATGATCAATAATTGTGACACTGTTGACATTTTGAAGTTAATCTTCTCTATAAACCATAATATTTTTATTGGAGAAAACACCCTTTTTATTGTATTAGATAGTCTGATAAGTGCAGAGAAATTCTGTTGAATGAAGGATATTATATTAAAATGTGTAAATATTTCAAACCCAGATATTTAGCTTTTCCCCCTCGTCAATAAAACTTTTCTTTATAAGACAAAAAAATCACCAAATTTAGATACTACAAAATCAACTGCCTTCTAAATGTCATTTCACTTTAATACAAAATATAAATTTATCTAATTAAAAACAGAAGCTCCATCAAGTCTTCACAATCGTTGAGATATTGTAAATGACACAACTTCTAAAATAAATCTTGAACTCTTAGGACTTAATTTTTCAGTTCTTCCCTTGTTTTTATAGAGATAAATTTCAATGTCTTCTTGTTTGCAAGATTTGTTTCCAAGAATTGCTATTTGCTAAAATTTGCAAAAGCTGAAGAATTTGACACTGTATTTGGTGAATACTTTAAAGATTTCCAAATGATTCTGAATAAAAACCTAACCAATACAAGTATAAGTTTCTTTACTCCCTTCCACTCTAGCCCCCCAACAAAAGCCAATATGACACTTAGGTCAATTTACAAAGCAGTTTTTCACAAAATCACATTTCTAAAATGCCACTGGTATCATGCAGCAAAGAGAGTTGCATATCAGAGTGTGTGTTGTCATCTGAAATATGTTCAACATTATACAACAACCTGATGCACAAAATTCGTTCAAGGGGCTCGGGCCTCACGGCCCCAGCTGCCTTGTGGCCCTGGCTGCCTCATGGCCCTGGCTGCTTCGTGGCCCCTCGCGGCCCCCCACCCACTGGTTGTTCCAGAAGGTCATTCCGCCATCAGGTCTAACTAGCATATTAGCTCTTTATTATATAGTATCAGCTTCATTATAATAACTTTATAGTTCAGTGAAACTATACATATCAAATACAAATAAATTTGACCATTAGTTTTACTTCAATTGGCAGAACAAGCAGATTTTGTTTGCATGCACCACAACCAATTCCTCAAATATCTCTGCTCTAGTTTTCACAATAGAAACAATGATTTTACCATGACAATATCTTTTTGGCAGAAACAAGTAATTTTACTTTCCATGTTGGGCTTTTAAATTTACAGAAGCATTTACAGCATTTCTGACAGAATAAACTTCCAAAAGCTTTACTATGATTCCTTTTATTGTACTGACAGAACAAATTTATAAAAGCTTTGAGTAAAAAATATAGAACTATTATTGGAATTAATTGATTTTCTATTTTAAAAGCAGCATTGTTTAGGGTCCTATTTCTGCTAATGGAATAAAAACTTAACAGTTATTGCTTCATTTTTCATATGTGCAAAAGAAAACTTGAAATAAAAATTGAACAAAATTAATTTTTAAAAAGTTATTTGATCTAAATGAGATCATGTTTCATAAAGACATATGTAAACATCTTTTGCACCTAAATATATTTGTCATTTTGAGACACAATCTTTTTCAAATAACTCCTAACTTTTCAAATAGATGCTGATACTTTTTTAGCAGATTTGTCATGTCTTTTGATTAGTGTGTGGTCAGCGATATCACTATAATTATCATGGTGGATGGTAAATGTTAATAAAGATTTTGAGCATGTTAAATATTGAGAGAGAAATTCAGTACTTCATTCTTCAACACACATACATTAATTTTTAAAAATTCATTGTTGCTGGGTTTATAACAACAACAAAAAAACTGCCAAAATATAAACTAAATAGGTTTTAGATTTATGCTACACAACAAATGACAAAACTACTATAGCAAGAGGGCTCTGTCCACTCTCTTTAATGATCTATAGCAGGACTATTCTGTCACTCTCCTGTACATATTTCACCAAACCCAACCTCTAACTTCCTGTGTTTTTCTCTGATTCCATCGGCTGACAGCTGGGAATCGCATGCTTCACACAGGCCATGGCAGAACTTGCTAGTATATCAAGGTGCCTGCAGGTGAGCGCACTTACACACTTATCTCACCAGCACTAGAAAAGCAAAGGACTTAGCTTTTCCTCCCTGCCTTGTCAGGGCACACTTCATTTTATTAGCACACATTCTGCATGCTGCTCCTTTATAAGGGAGAAGTTAGTTATGGTGTTTCTCAAAAAGGTTGAAAAAAGAAAGATGAAGTCTTTCCAATGTAGATTTTACATACTAACATGAAATCTCTTCACTACACTTGTACCTTATATGCTACTAGATTAAAAAAAAACCATGGTAGACGATATAAGTACAATGTGGAAGTCTACAACTTACTGTCTTTTTAATACACACACACACACACACTAGAAGCCTGTTGCACGAAGATTTGCGCAATAGGCCTTCTTTCCCCTGGCTGAAGGCACCGGTTTTCCTCCAGCACCCGGGACCCAGGCCTTTGGTCCGGCCACAGCGGAGAAGGAAAGCCTCTTCAGTCTTCAGTCTTCACTCTGGCTGGAGCCTTCAGCCTTCACTCTGTGCCTGCGTATGCAAATTAACCGCCATCTTTGTTGGGTTTATTTGCATGGTCTCTGATTGGCTGGTGGGAGTAGCGAGTGACACCAATTTGCACGTTTCTCTTTTATTAGTGTAGATTATTTATATATATATATATATATATATATATATATATATATTTATATATTTATATATTTATATATTTATTTATTTCAGAGAGGAAGGGAAATTCTCAGAGACAAAGAGATGGAAACATCAATGATGAGAGAGAATCATTGATCAGCTGCCTCATGCACAACCCCCACTGGGAACTGAGGCCAAAACCCAGGCATGTGCCCTGACCTCCTGGTTCATAAGTTAATGTTCAACCACTGTCCCACACTGGCCAGGCTAACTTAGATAACTTTAGAGTAGCCAAACCAGACATAAAGTCATTATAATCATAATATTCTAGGTATTATACTAACTTTCCCAATATTGTATGATTTTAGTGAACACGAGTATAAGGCTAAAATGATGTTTTTACTTTATACTAGCAGCCCATCGCACGATATCGCGTGCAGTAGGCCACCCGCTGCTTCTGTGGGAGCCAGCAGGAACCACAGCACGCCGTGGGAGCCATGCTGCTTCCACAGGAGCCGTGCAGCTTCCGCAGGAGCCGGGAGGGAGCTGTGCCACTTCCGCACGAGGTGAGAGGGAGCCACGCTGCTTCCTCCAGAGGCGGGCCTGCCGTGTCCTCTCCGGGCCTGTGCTCAGCTGCAGAGGCTGCGGGCCAGCCCCCCATCCCTGTCCATGTCCACTCCGGCTCTGTGGAGCCAGCCCAAGCCGGGGCACGGCGGCTTGCTGGCCCTGTCTCTGTCTCCATCTCCGCTCCAGGCCTCACCTGCGCACACAACCTCCTCCTGTCTGTGACCCATTACGGTGTCCTGGCCTAATTTGCATATTTCCTCTTTTCATATATCTACAGATTGGTATTTACTTACCAATATATAAGAAACTCAACAGTAAACATAGATTTCCTTTCTTTTATTGTTTTTGAAAAGTAACTCAGTGCACAAAGAAATCTATATGACATTTGGAAATTATTAACTGATTCATTTCAAAGATTGACTTAAATGCAAAGATAAAATCTAAGTCATGGAAATATACTCAGAATATCTGTAATTATTTGGTCATAAATCTTGTACACCAATCAGCAAAAGCAACAATAACAAAAGTCATATCACAAGTGGGGATAAATTTGAGGAGTCAACCTGAAAATTCTGAATGGCCAACATCAGGTTACTAGAGAGTGAGTATGGGTAGGCAGAGAAGGCAGAAAGAGAGGGAGACGATTGAGAGACACACAGCAAACACAAAAAGAGAGAAAGATGAACACTGATGGAGAGGCAGGAGAGAATGACAGACACAGGCATGCAAGAGGCAAACTATTGAAGTGTTTCTCTTTCATATCGATATTTCTCTCTGTCTTTTCCTGTCTCTTCCACTCTCTCTAAAAATCAATGGGAAAAATATCCTCTGGTGAAGATTAAAAAAATAATATAAATTAATTAATTAATTAATTAAAATATTTACTGGTTTCCCCTGTACCTGTAGGACAAGGTCCACAGTATTTGCCACTCCAAGTCCTGGCCTGGCCTAGCTCTCCAGACCACTTTAAGTATGCTGAAAGCACCAAGCTGTTTCATGACTGACCTGCTGCTCTCCTCTTTCCTTCTTCTGTACAGGAAACCACTCCTTAGAAGTCCATAGTCAGGAGTCTTATCCTTTATGAAACTTTCTCTGACCTCTCTCCTCCTACTGCAGGCTTTCAATAACTTTCTCCTCTGCAGTTCCACTATATCTCAGTACTTCTATTATAGCACTTACCAAATACTCTTTCATTTTTTTTATGTTTTTCTCCCCTACTAGACTAGAATATCATCTCTTTGCACAACTACCATCTATTGAAGAACCTTAAAGAAACAGGCACCTAGTAACTATTAGATAGACTAATGTATGAACAGACTTTAGGTGCTTCATCAGAGTAAAGAAGAAAGTAGGTAGAAGTAAGGATTAGCCTCTTACCTGTTTGGAGTTGGTTAAATACAATTTTGCTCCCAAATTTAAAATCTGCAGTTTTACAAGATCATCTTCATTTGTAAAGCTTTTAGCCATCTTCCTTAAAACATCAGGGGCAATTACAGGAACTCGCTCACAGTTTTCTCCAATTAGCCAAAGAATACTTGCTCTAGCCACAGGGACCTAATATTAGAAGCAGACAATATGGTTACAAATAAGATAACAATGCTCTCCTTAATATTAACATAGAAAAGTCTTTAAATATTACCAAGGTGTTACATCTATCAATTCATTTAATGTATATCCAGGAAGTGCTCTTATATTTATGGATTTTCTTTAGTTATCAAAAAATAAACACACAGAAAATCACAAAACTGATTTCGGGATAATGTTTTAGAAAAGATTCATAGAGGAAAAATCATTGGTCTACAATCTTGATTCTATCAGAGATCTGTGAATTCTTGGGCTGAATCTGGCTGGCCATGCCCATTTGTTTATGTATTATTATTGCTGATTTATTCAACAAAGTCCATAAGAATAGCAGTTTACAGAAAAAGTTTGCGGACCTCTGCTCTAGGGCACTGATTTACAAACCTTGATGCCCATAAAAATCATCTAGGGTTCCTACTAAAACTGCAGGGCTCTGGTATCGCTCCAACATAGTTCTGTGGTGGGGCCCAGGAATTCACATTTTTATGAAGCATCACGGATGACTCCTGAGACAGGTGGTCTGTCTGCAAACCATGTTTTGAAAGTCACGGATAATATAGAAAAAAGAGTAGATCCACTACAGGATTGATTCCAACTGTTATATCCTCTATCTACAGCACTGGGAATATATAAAACTCATAAGATCATCAAGATTTGGCTTACAAAATCATTAATCCTGGTCTATTATTTGGTCACCAACAAAATAAATAGGGATAACATAAATTTGTACAATAATGCATTTTGGCATTAAATATTTTTAATGAAATTTTTAAAAATAATGTACATAATTTGTTTCTTAAAAATTACTGCTTTGTTACAAATTGGAAACCTTCCATCAACACCATTAAGACCATCATTTCAGAGTATGTACATTAGTTTTATTTCTATCTGTTTACTTGCATTATCCCCTATTCCAAAAGGAATTTGAACAGGTGTGTAAATTAGTTTCTGTGAACATTTTCACCTAGTATGGAAAATTTGCTTTTTATAAGAAATGAAAAAGCCAATAACTATCATTAAGAGATAGCATCACAATAATAGATAACATTCTTTTTAAGAAGTCCTTT